TCCTGGTGCCCGTGTAGAGGGTGTCTTGGGTCGTTCTGTTGTTTTCCCGCTCTGTCCTTGCTTGGACATCTCTTCGGATGCCAGGAGGGCAGATTCCTGCCAGTATGTACAGGGCTGACAGGGGGGTAGCCTTCAGGTTGCCTGTGATGGTACGACAGGCTCTGTTCAGTTCCACGTCGACCTTGTGGGCATGGGGTGACCTCTCCCATACTGCGGCGCAGTACTCAGCAGTGGAATAGCATAGGGCCAGCGCTGTCTGCTTGAGAGTGTTTGGGTCTGCTCCCCAGCTGGAGTTAGCGAGGTTGGACAGAAGGTTATTCCCCTGGATAACCGACAACGGATTTGCTCAGCGAAAAATACTTTGCGGAGACACGTACATGTACTTCGTAAGGTTTGCACTGAACACCTTTAATCCCATTTCCGCACAAACTCTACTTGTGATAACCGACCGGCTGCATTGACCTTTTAGAGAAGTCTCTATTATTGCTGAACAGAGAAGTTTCTATAGACCGTACATAAACCGTAACCCGATATTAACCTCGGTGGCTGAAGAACTCCGTTTCTGGGGCATGTGCCAGTTCTGTGCGATTTACCCTCCTGATGGACGGTGGAATGTCTGACCTGCTCCACTTATTACGGGCTGGGATCAGCCGCAGGGAACTTATTGGTGAAAAGTAGGTTAAAGGTGGAGAGTGTGGTCCAGTCGGACCGTCCAGAGGTCAGTGCCTTTACCTGTGGAGGTCAAGAGTTGAAATAATTGTCGCTCTCCCGACGTGCAACGCGGCTACTAGAAATGACGGGACGGGGCTGTGGTCCACTGGTTATTAGATGGTTCGCGTGTCCCATGGGTATAAGAACTTCCTTGGCAAGTTGAATCCTTACAAAATGCAAAAAGTAAAATTCTACCTTACAACGAACAGTGGAATAATACCTTGAAGTTGAATCAATTGTATCGAGCAACATTTCCATTCTATTCCAGATGAGACACTGAAAGGTTATATGCCAAACGGGATCAGGAGAATAACTTACGAGGAAGTAGAATGGCTGTTATGTGACTTTTAGGGTACCATAGATCCACACAACAGGCACTGATAGCTTCGCACCAAATCACTAAGCCTCGCGACATGTTAAATCTGAAATATCTGATTTATTTCTGTGTGTGTGTGTGTGTGTCATTTAAGAACAAATCAGGTTTTAGTTTCTCCGTTTTAATTATGTCTCTAATACCAAATCACGCTATCAAAATGATTCATTTGCTATACTGCCGCAGTGGGTGTCGTCTCTGATAACCATAAACTCTCCGACTGAGATTGGGTTATAAAACAGTAAAATTATACCACGTAGACCGTCAGGCACAAATCGTCTGTATGTTATAGCCGGTGATGAGACGGCGCTCATGTCCCGGTCACGTACATATACGTGGTGGGGGGTTTTCTGCGACGATTTGGCCTTACGTGGTAGGCTTGAAACGAGACGGGTGCAATAGTTCAAAAATTTAAATATCGCACCTGCATCTCAAACCTACGGCGAAATGTGAAGAAGCAGATGCATCGTACGGTGTACGTGAGAAGGGCTTTACAGACGCAAGATAAATGTACAGGCTAAATCAAGGGCAAGATCAAACCGTCAACACGAAAATTTGAAGGTAAGAGTAAGGTGACAAGAACAGACATGAACCCCACAAAAACGCCAAATGAATTTGATTTAATACAAGCCACGGTAGTTGTCCATTAATTTTTGGCCGTCGGCCATTTGTAAAGAGGACGTGGTACAAATAAGAATTAAGTCGGAGGATTTGACTTGTACTGACGGAAGACAGGGACGATGTACGTCTTCTCACGACGTCTCGCGATAGGTAATATCTACTTTCGCTAGGAAAGCCCGAAGACGTCTATTCCTCAGAATGTCAAGATAAGATGCTCAAATTCATCGGCAATGTGTTATATCTGTGACAGAAAGTAAACCCGATTCTTCGTTCATTGTGACTATGTATACTTTTACCGATTCTACCGATGATTTTTCATCAATGTTGACAGCCGTTACCGATGATTTTTCATAGCTACTTCAACGTGCACACGTCTAACGCAAAAGGTCGTCCCACAACATGGATGTATGTCTTATTGGCATGTTGTGGTGTATATGTATCTGTGACAAGTAATAGGCACCCCCAGGAGCGCACAGACACGACTAGATTATGTCACTACAGGACGAAGACCTTTAGATCATTGAGAAACCTTTTGAAGATCTTGGAGGCCCATGAACTGCTGAAAGATCTGCTAAATTGTTACAGGCTCATCGGCTTACTTCTTTGGCCTCTCCACTTATAAAAAACCCTCACCGCTACGCTCGTATATACCATGTCTTGTAATGATTCTGTCGAGACTTACCCTGTAAAACATTCCTCATCTTTACTAATGGAAGGTGGAAGGCAGAGTTCACGTTTCTAGACACTCAAATTCACGGTACATAAACACGGAGTCATTGAACTCATGGACGGCTGAGGAGACTCCGGGGCTACAGACACATACAGCGGTCATTGAACGTAGAGGACTGAAACTTGTAACGATATCTGTAAAGTTAACTTAGATGAGTGTTCCTAATATCGCAATTATCCTTTTTATTTTATCTAAACCAGATCTGATTCAAACTTGAATCACTTTTTTTCTAGACTATTAGGTGTAATTCCTAACGGAACATGAAATACTAAAACTGGAAGTACTGCTGCAGTATCATAAAAAGCCACCAGGTAGCCCATAATCTATATTTTCCGCTGTGTTGCTGGCACCTACCCACATCAAACATCATACGGATCCATTTAAACCTTCTCGAGTTATGCTGTCTACAGATCGGCAGACACAATAAAAACGGCACCGAAGACACGCGGCGATCCGGCGAATGGCGACGAAGGTAATAAACGTTAAGACAGGCAATAAACGACTCTCATGGCAAAAATAACAGTATTGTTGAGACGTCAGTATTGTAGCAGGAAATGGTCAGACAGGCAGACGCGGGCAGTACTTTGGGCTTCCAACAGAGACCCAAGCAATCAGTGCTGACCGATAAGCGTTAAAAACAGCAGTCTCCGTGGCGGGCGTAATAAAAGTGTGGAGGTGATATCTTACCGTAGAACATGGTCGGACAGGGTCAACGGCCCAGGCGTCCGGCAGAGACCTCTGTTATCAGCGCCAAACCAAAATGCCTGGAGATTCAAAATAATTCCAGAGACGATGGAAATGACCGTCGAACATGGTCAGACAGGCTTTGATCGGATATCCGAGTTGTCGGCACTAATCAGTAAGGGATTTGGAAAAGCACAAAAACATTTAAGTATGGAGATTACCGGCTATTGTACAAAGAACATGCATGCAGCCAGGGAAGTTGACTGCTCTGGGCGGAGTGAGTCTCCCAGGCTTTCCTCAAACGGTCCAGTCGGTACACTCCCAGACTGGACCGTCGATTCTTGGGGTAGCCACGCACGGGACAAACAGTAAACATTGTAGCAGTGATTACTTCGTGAAGGAGGGCAGTGACCTCCGCAGGAGTACTGTAATCAGTTGTGTCCGTACATTCGCAGCTGTAACTCACGAAAGTGCCAAAACGGATGTGATCGCAGCTCCTGTGCCTATATAATCAAGTCAAACTTGCCAATAACACTCTTAAAGCACATCTAAGTGCTATTTTTGCGGCACACAGTGTAATTGCTCAGAGCAAGCGCTACACCCGGTACCCGTTTTATCTCAACCCTGTGAGTTCAGGGAAATAACCGCTCAAGTTCTTCTCAAGTTAAAACAAACCCGTCCTTGTCTTCAGGATCAAAGTAATCAGCGCAACTTTTAACGAGCTCTAATTAAAGCGTCTCCCGTCAGTCCCCACATTGTTCCTCCATCATGGCAGGTTTTGTCTCCCGCAGGAAATCACAGCCTTCTCCTTTGGCGGAGGGATTCTTGTAATCAGTTTACAGCCCGGCAATATTTGGTTACCGCAATTTGACTTGATAGTTTTTCAGAGTCAATGCTACGTGGGGAGTAAAAGAAGCCGTCTTTTGAGAATTAAGGGCGCATAATGACGAGATTGGATTTGTTCGTGTAATGTTGAACTAATCAGCGAGAGATTTTCTATAGTGTTGGCTGTTGGCAAAATGAAGCTCAAGACAAGTTCCCAAAGGGCGGTTGTAGGCTGGAGTTCATTAGTGGTACCAAGCGTTTTACGACATGAGGTGAGTTTACGACACTTATACAGAAAAGAGCCCACCCTTGACGGGGGTGATAAAGCAGCATAATTGAATGTCATTATCCGGTCACTAAAGTCAGTGATGTTCAAGTGCAAACCTTACGACCAGGACACAAAAACCTTACATGAAAATCCCATAGCGTGTGCCGAGGCCATATTTGTCATAATTTGCGACGACTAACATCATGGATGACTCCTTAATCCGGCCGGAGAAAACAAACCGATTCATCACTCCTGACGGCGGTGACGCCGACCCGATATGTCATGACGTGTGCTCGACTGTCAGCAGAACAAATCACTGCCAGACACAAACGTATTAATGTAATCTCCAATTGTCCCCTATGGGGGGATCCGTCATATTTGTTACTATGCTGTCTGTTGTTATCTGTCTTGCATTAAATCACACCATAACATCCAGTGGATTTTTCTATCAAAATGACTAACAATCCATCACAAACACATCCTGCACCCTAATTTGCAAATGCAACTCGACCTTTTCTTACTACAGTTGTTCTCCGTCGCCATCTATCTAACTCTAGAATCCACTTAACAGACCAACTTGGGGTTAGACTGCAACAAGTTTACACAAATTGACATTCT